CCCGCGGCGCTTCCGCGAGGGCTTCCTCCTGCCCGGGGCGCCGCTGGTGCTGGTGGGCGTCGTGGACCACTGGCCGTGCCTGCGCAAGTGGAGGTGAGGTCCCCGCCGGCGTTCCCGTTTCCCGCGGCCGTGGCAGCCTGATGCCCCGCTCTCGAAGTGGGTCTCCTCTGTGCCCCGGCAGTGTTGGCATGGGACCCGACTGGGCATATGCCTCATCCCGAGGCCTCTGTCGTAGAGACATTGTATAGTGGGAAAAAAGATCCCTAAATGTTGTGAGGAAGCACGAAGCGACGTCTGCTGTTGAAGCCTTTTGCTTTTCTTGCGGCAGCGTGGATTACATCCGGCAGTTGGCTGGCAACCGCACTGTCCCCGTGGAGCTGGGAGCTCGTTACACTGACCAAGATTGGTCCCAGAATCTCATGACGGTTGGGGAATTCATCAGCCAGTACATCGAGGAGGAGGTCTGAGCTCTTTCTTCATCAACATAAGTGTCTGGGAAAGGGGAAATGAATCAGCATTTCTAACTTAATCTGGAAGTCTCCTTGGGGACATTTTGTGGTCAAAAGGTAGGGTAGAAATGGTCTTAGTAAAAGAAACTATTTTGACATAGGCACAATGTGCAAGATTTTGAGTTACAGAGAACGTCTCTTTGTGGAAAATGGGAGGGCAGTGCTTCGGGTTTTAGAGGGACAAATAGCGGGGCCAAAGTCTGCTACAAAGGCTGTTTTGGTCCACATCCTTTGCTTCTCTACAAGACTTGCTTTTTATTTGTCTCTCTTCCTTTTCATTCCAGAATCCCAATGGGTACCTTGCTCAGCACCAGCTTTTTGACCAGGTAAATGTGGAAATGACTTCTAATCCTAGGAAATAGGGGTTACCTTTGCCCTGAATGGCACCCCAAAGAGTGTTCTCAGAGGCAGTAGGACTCATGCCTCCTCCAATTACCCTTCACAGCCCACAGAGAGATTCCTGTTGATGAACAGATGTCAGAAGCCTATCCTTCCCCACCCCCAAATTGTACTTTACTGGAGAAGATCCTGTCCACTTGGACTATAGCAGCCATGTTGTTTCGTGCTGCTACAGCAGCTTTCCTCACCCTGAAGCTGTTCAGATGTTTTGTATCATGGATGCAGATCATCTGCCACACTGGCCTGGATTGATGGGAGCTATGCTGCAAAACACTGCACTGGGGAAGGCTGCTGTTGCCATTTGTCACAGGGAGGAGTTGAAAGGAGGACCCTTAGATTCCACAGCAAAATCCCATTGCCCACCCCCAGTGGTAAAGCTGCCATTGGTATGGTTGCATAGCAAGTATTGGATTGATGCATCTCTCACTGTGGAAACGTACTTGCACAAGGCAGCCGTGCTTAGTCTAAACGGCATGGAATTGAGCACGTGCCTACATCCAGTATTATTCCAGTTTTCTAGCAAGCTTGCCCTGACTCTTTTCTTCCCCTCACTCTCACCAAAGAGGCACCCTGAGCAAGGGAGAGAATGGCTCAGCATCAGGGACTGAGCATGGTGGATCCCAGGGCAGAAATACTTTGCCTATAAGCTGCCATAGACCATCACACAGTACCATCCAGCCAGGCAGGAGGTCTTTTGGGCAACATCCCACAAAGTAGCGGGGGAATGTGGAACCCATGTTTGGCTGTCAGTCTCTCTGATATCCAAGCTTCTGTCAGAGGAGCATGCAAGGAACAAGTGCCCTGTACAGATGGTGTGAAGCCAACTGCTGCCAGCTCTTGGGTGAGCGAACGGGGTTGATCCAGTAAAAAGGCATGTTAGCCTAATGCGTCCTACTATTGCTGGGGAAAAGTTACACCTATGAATCTTTACATAGAGGAAACTTTGATCAAAGACATTCACGCTGCCATGACTGCACCTTTTATTTGGAGAAGAGAGATCATTCCCTCATCCAATAAAACCTATCAGAATGCCTGTCAGACCCAAAACTATCCATTCTGTTTAATAGGAACAATTTACTCGAAAGCCACTTACCCATTAACTTGCATTATGTGTCATCGTGGCAGCGTTCACTGTTTCTCGTTCGTTCCCACTTGTCTCATGCAGGAAGCTGAGCGCTGCCCTCCCCCCCACAGCAGCACATCATTAGCTCATCACATTTCCCCAGCTAAAAAGTTTCTCTTTTTGTCATCTCCTTATTTCTCTTCTTGCCTGATGGTTCTTATGCTGTATAATTAACTACCGTAAGCCACCTGAGCATTTTAACGGAAAGGTACAAACATACCTTGCTCTCTGCATGGTACAATAAATTGGACACACTCTTGACTTTTATTTCTGATGGGTCATCACCAGATCCCAGAGCTGAAGCAAGATATTGGCATCCCAGATTATTGTTGCCTGGGCAAAGATGATGAAGAGGAGATCACCATCAATGCCTGGTTTGGTCCAGCAGGGACCATCTCACCTCTTCACCAGGATCCACAACAAAATTTCTTGGTCCAGGTTTGTTCTTTACATCCTTCAGAAGCTCTTGCCAGGGCAGAGACAACAGTGACCCCTTGTCATTTTCCTCTCAGTAATATACAGGGGCAACATCTTTACCCAACTTCTGGGGTCACCAGGTAAGAGAGTGTTTCCCACTGCCTCAAAGCATTGATGGGACATCTGGAGATATTTGTTAGTGTTCCAAATGCCTTTGTGGCAGGTTGCTAACTTCTGGCCTGTGAATTGGCAGAAAAAGAGCTGTTGTCAATGGCTTTTCTTCTACTATAAGAGAAGAAATCTGATGCCATCCCATGTCACGATCAGATATTCCAGGGTGTAGTCCAGAACGTCTGAGAGAAGGGTAGGCAAATGATTAAAGTACAACTACCCATCGTTACAGGCAGTTAACTTCTTACATTCCCATTTTCAGGTGATGGGGCGCAAATATATCCGCCTATACTCTCCTGATCAGTCTGAAAAACTCTATCCATATGATAGCCACCTTCTTCACAATACCAGCCAGGTGGGTGATGCCTGCGACCCAAAGCAATGGCCACTCACTTGTTCCACTGTGATTTTTAAAGCTGGCTGCCCAAAGAGCCTTTGCCTCAGCACTTGGGGACAATGACACATTTCTTCCCTGTTTTCTGATGGTGTAGGAAATGTGTTCTTATGCTTCCTAAAGCATCTAATCCAATGATCTAAAAAAGACCTTTCTTTTGCAGGTTGATGTGGAAGACCCCAACTTAGTAAAATTTCCTAAGTTCAAAGCAGCTGCATTTCAAGACTGTGTCTTGAGCCCTGGACAGGTTCTGTTTATCCCAGCCAATTACTGGCATTATGTTCGAGCCCTAGACACCAGCTTCTCTGTTAGCTTCTGGTGGTCTTAGCTTATGTTGAGAACAGAAAAGCCCTTTCGAGACAAAGAATCGGTACAAACATGAGTGCCACGGCCGATCCCAGAAAAGCACACCCATCCAAAGACTGAACAGCCTAGCCTTCTGGGCCCTTCTACATGCAAATGCATCGGAATAACAGACTTTGCAATGTTCCGTCCCAAGTTTATTTCTCAGTAGAAGATCTCATGTCACTCACTTAAGCAAGTCATCCTGCAGAGTCCCAAAGGGGTTCTTGGGTGAGATATGCAATGAAATCAAAAGCCCCTTAACTGCTCTACAACTCACAAATTCAGAGAGGATGAGTGATGCTGGCAGCAAGAGGCAGTTAGTTGTCTTTGGGGAGAGGCAGGGGCAGCCCGCTGGAGTAGCTTTTCTCAAGGTTCTGAGAGGTATCCCAGTTGTGCTAAGCGGAATAGAGCCCTGCCTATGGTAGCTTCCTTCATAAAATAAAGGAGAAATGTTGAGGACAACACTCCAAGCAGTAAGAGGCAGGCCAGCAGCCCAGGTACCATTCAAAGCAAAAAAAAAAAACTAAAGCAAAATGGCTATTGACAAAAACAGCAGTGTGAGCCCTTCAATACCAGCACAGCCATTATTTTGCCCAGCTGCTGTCCCAGGTGCGTCCACAGAACCCGCAGTTCCATATCTTCTGAGAGGTCAGAGAGGCTGTTGCTGCTGCCTGGGGCCCATCCTGGACACCTTCCTGCTCTCTTCCCTGGTGCTCAAGGGCAGGTGGCTGGGAGGGCTGAATTCTGCAGTTGCAAGGGGGAAAATGAAAGATGAGCTGAAGAAGGAAGATATAGTCCTTGCTTAATGACCATTTGCTCAGCAACTGTTTGAAGTTATGATAGCACTGAATGAAGGGATTTATGACACATGCCCAAGGTTACAGCCACTGCAGTGCCTCTGCAGTCATGTGATTGCAATCTGGGTCCTTGGCAATTTGTTCACACTTATGACTGGTTGCCAAGCGCCCTGTGATCATGTGATTGCCATTTGCAATCTTTCCTGCCGGCTTCCCCAGAAAGTCAAATGGGGAAGCCAGCAGGGAAGGTAATGCACTGCTGTGACTGGTTTGCTTGTGTCTTTCAGGCTTGGCTAGGAGGAGAAGCTGTCTAAGGAAGGGCACTGGGCTGCGTCCAGCTCCTTTCTCTCTACCTGAGGAGAAAAATGGTTTCCCTCCCCACCACAGCAGCTCTTTCCATCCCCTTTTCCCCTTTGAAGCAGTAAGCACTCCACCACCTAAGCTCCCCTCACGTGTGGAAAGGAAGCCGAGAAAACGACAGGCTGCAGTGGAGGAGATGGCCCAGGGCTTGGGCACAGACAGAGTCCCATGTCAGAAGCGAAAGAGGCACAGAGAGTGCCCAGCCAGAGCCTGCCTCAATTTCCCCATTAATGACTCCTCTCTCTGGCCTCCCTGCCTCTCCCCTCCCCCAAAAAGTGGTGCAACCTTGGCACATGGAGCAGGAGCTGTGCTCACTGTGCCAGCTGTCCTGATGCCAGCCAGTGGAGAGAGCAATGCCCACGGACAGGTTCTGACTGCACTCTCAGCACCTCTTTTGCTTCTGGAGTGGGACACTCTACACCTGGGCCCTGGGCTGCTCCTCAGGGGCTGCAGCCTGTCCTTTGTGTGCGTGAGGGGAGCTTGAGCCAAGGGAGGGGAAGAGGCGAGGGAAAGCTGCTGGGGTGGGGAGAGAAGCCTTTTCTTCCTCTGGCAGAGAGAGGAGCTGATCCCAGCCTGGTCCCCTTCCTTGGGTGGCCGCTTCACCTTGCCAAGCCTGAAAGAGACCCAAACAGACCAGCCACAGCAGCATATTATTCAGATGAGAAAGGAGCAAAGCGGGTGGCAGTGACCTGCAACCTTCCCTGTGGGCTTCCCCATTGCCCTTCTGGGGAAGATTGCAAATGGTGATCACATGAACATGGGGTACTTTGCAATTGCAAGCTGCTGCTGCTTGCCAAGAGGACTCCCCTTTGTCTCTGGGGGCTGAGTAAAGAAACTCTGTGCCAAAATCCAACCAGGATTTTCAGCCTTCAGAGTGGAGAGGCTTCTGAAACCTCAACTTCGATGAAAATCCAAGTGGTTCTGAGGCCCTTGTGCACCCTCCCCAACCCTCCTACGGACCCCCTCGCTCCCTCCCTTGCCCAGCAGCACCTAGGGCCTGCAACTTCCTGCCAACTTGCTGGCAAGAAGTTGCCTTACCTAACGGGCATTCACTTAACGGTGGCTGCCGGGATTGCTGTTGCTAAGTGATGGGGTCACATGATATTTCGCCTAATGACCGTATCGCTTACCGATGGAAGTGCCAGTCCCAAATGTGGTCGTTAGGCAAAGACTACCTGTATGCTACAACAGTGTATTTTCACATCCTGAAGCTGGCGCTTTTATTGTGATGGCAGGAGAATTCAACCCATTAAAAGGCTTTGATATGTGAGAAAATAGCTGAGATCCTTGCCAAAGCCAGCTTTCCACTTTCGAAACATTCTTGTTTTTCTTTGGTCGTCCCCTCCGAATAAGAGCTAAAAAGCCTCTCTTTGTATTTGAATGAGGCTGCATCTTCCAGCACAAAGCAATGCCTTGTGCTACTCAAAATGGGAAAAAGGCCAAATCAACCCTGTCAATCAGATGCTGCAATCAGACTGCCCTCCCCCCCATGTGAAAAACAGGTATTTTATTTCCCCACCTCCACCCCCGCCCCCCCTCCCCGAGAGTTTTACCTGGAAACTTGTGAAGCCAGAACTGTTTGCAGTGAGGGCACCGTGGCTCTGGTTGTGCTTGGAAGTACTTCGAAAGACAAGACCAATGTACCACAATCCCACAGTTTCCACACACTTGATTCTGAAATGGAAAAAGTCCCATGAAGTTGAATGACACGAATGGATTAGGGAGATGTCCGTGCCTTTGAGCAAATAATTTTGCCTCTTAGGGGTTTTGATGGACTGGGACAAAATGATACTCCCAGAATCTCCAGGCCCCCATCTCACCGCTTTAACCCCCTCCCCCTCCCCATAAACTCACTTGGTTAGACTTGTCCCGTTCTATTATTACCAGCTGCCCTGTTCTAAAATTCTAGAAATGTATTCAGTGGATTTTAGGTATTTTTAGCCTCACCCATTCTAGTGCCATGCCCCTCCAGAACCAAGAAGGGCAATCCTGCTCACAAAAAACCATCCACCCACTCCCAAGAGCCAGAGAGGATCCTCCAAACTTCCAAAGAGGCTGAGCCACTTGAGCAGGGAGGCTCCACTTCTGCACTAAGTCCAAGGAAAAGGTGCTAGATGGGCAGGAATTCATACACAGTGGACGTGGGAAACTTTTCTTTTCTGCAACTTGGCCCATCATCTACTTACAGCTGGACACTGTAGGAGAAGAGCTGCATTAGTCTATGGTGGCCAAACATCAGGAGGAGTCTGGTAGCACCTTTTTCTACTAACCAATTTTATTACAAGGCATGAGATACAGCTCATGAAAGCTCATGCCTTTTAGTAAAATGTTGGTTGAACATTAATTACCAAACTTCTGATTTTTTACAGCTGCTGCAAGAAGGGCCAGTAGAGTTACCTGAATGGAAAGGCTGTGGCAGATATGGCATTTCCGGGCAGACTCTGGGTAATGGCGGAAAATGTACTGCTCCAGTTCAAGGATGCTGCGGGTGTGCAGGGTGTACTCCCCTTCTTTCTGTAGAACAGAATTAACATGCTATTAATCAACCTTGGAGCCCACCAGCACTATCTCCCTAATGTGCTAGGAGACATGGCTAGGAGACAGGTCTTCGGGCCAGCACCTCACAAAGCCACTTTTTCTGCACCAGCTGTTGAAGCACTTGCTCCACCTCCATTTTCTTCATTTTCTTTGGCTTCAACTTGTCGGCCAAGTTCAAGATCTCGGTGGATGATGCAAAGCCATTCCCAGACAGCAGGATCAGGTCCATCTGCAAAAACAAAGCACTTCCCTACTTAGGACAAGCTGCAAATGTTCAGCCGGGCAGACACGGGATGCCACATCTTAGGCACTCCCTCCCCACATAGCTGCCAGTCCAGAATGGTGTGACCTGAAGGGTTATTACCCCTCTTTCCCTGCCCCAACAGGACCTCAGAGGCAGAGTGCCTATTATCTCTTCAAGAATCATATTTTTCTTCACCTACAAACTGAGGCTCTGAGAGCTGCTATTGCATCCCTGGTTCTGCACCCCTCCACACAGCAGTGCAAATCCCACCACCGCCTTCTCCTCAGGGATGCACTCTTGTTGCCAAAGCAGCAGCAAGAAAAGCAGCACTGTCCCCTCCTGAAATGGACGGAGTCTAAGGACTGTCCTCCAAAGGGCACTTCAGCTCAAATCAGGAGTGTCCTAGTCCCATCAGTTTGCAGCCTCTTCCAGCGAAGAAGGTTAGTCTCTGTAGGAACTGAACCATCGTTCACAAAAGCTGAATAAATGTGTTTGTTTTTAAGGTAGCACAAATGCTTATTTTTCCTGCAATAGGTAGGTATGGCTACAGCACTGGAAAGATTTGTTTTTGTTTTTTTCCCTTTATACACCTCCTTACAGATCATGTGGGCCAAGAAAGAAGAGAAAGAAAGTCCTGTATCCTAAAATTAGTGATATGCTTCAGGCAAAAGAAAAAAAAAAAAGCTAAGGATAAAAGAAGTTTCAGGTCTGGACTATGTTCTGTAGAACCACCACCACTTCTCATCAGGCCCACTCCAGGAAAATATTTTGGTGATTGGTCATCTCCAATTATTTGGATGATTCCAACAGAAGAGAATATCTGTAGCTCAGGGTTGAACTGTGGAGTCCTTGGG